ACCAGTCTCCAAAGGTGCCTTAACTTTTGTGCAAAAGGTCCCCACATGTAAGGCAAGGCAAGTTTATTTACATCTTTCAACACAAGGCAATGCAAAGTGCTTTACAAAAATGAAAGACATTAAGAGCATTAAGAAACATATTATAAAATGGCATCTAAAGACACTGTTTTAAAAGCAAAGATAATAAAACATGAATAACAAAGGCACATGAATAAAAGTTACAGAGCAGTGTGAGCTGAAATGTTTAGGTCTGACTCTCAATCATTGCTAACTTTTTAGCAGAAATAGTTTTCTATGACCTCACTTTCTACTTTCTTTTTTAAATTATCCTTCAGTGTTTCATGCTAAATGAAACCCCCTTTGGAAAATTCTAATCTTGGTGGTACCTTTTAGTTTTCGCCCAAACTATTCCTCGTTTTTAAATGCACATTAGTTAAGTGTACATTGTCTTTCCAGGACTTTTTTGGTGTCCTCCGCGAACCAGGGTTCAGTATGTACGTCAATACATGACCAATCATAGATCCCACCACCAGATCTTAATAGCGTCTTTTTCCATTCTGATGGCTCGTCTCTTATTGGCTCCACTATGTCAATAGTGGAGGGTGGCGGGGCGGGTTTGGTATTGCACGTCGCAGGTGCGGGGCGGGAGCGGGTCTTGAAAATCAGACCCGTGCAGGACTCTGCAACAGCTAACCCTCTCATGAAAAAACAGTGGAAGTTTTAGTTCATTTAGTAGTTTGAAGACAGTCATCTAACTCATATTATATAGCCAATAAGAGAATAAACCTTAAAATGTTGACGTCCAGTAATAAACAGCTGAAAAAGGTCCGGTTGTTGGATTTCCTTCCTACCTAGGATAACGCATACTAAGGTAAATGTATTATTTTTTAAAGAAACTACTACTTGTGCTGGGGATATTCTGGTGCCCAACTGCAAGGTCCATGATATGATTGACCTGGTGACTCCTATATCTAAGTTTCAATGCAAATGTGATGCACAATTCGACTCAATGTCCAGATAATGGGGAAAAGAAAATGTGGATTCACCAACTACCAATATGGGTGCACATGGAATGAGTTGTGTGCTTTGTGGTTAACAGTTGTGGCGCTATTTCTCCAATTGAATTCCATTTAATCATCGAGGAAGAGGACACAAAAAGAGTATGTGATTAAAAGAGCCCGACTCAACATACAAATGAAATGATGTGGAAAACATGATGCAAATATGACCGTTTTTTTTCAAAGGTTACAGCCTCCTCATCAAGCCACCCAAATCGATGTCTTCATCTATTTTAATCTCCTTATTGGAGCGGATCCATAACATGTACATCATGATTTATTTGCTAAGCATGTTTCAATTGCGCATTGACAAAGCCACGTGTCAAAACGTTTTAATGGTATTTTACAATGTTCGTACATGCTCTAATAATGTATGTTCATATGTCGACTGTAATATTCTAGCTGGTGGAGAATGAGCTGCTTCCCTTTTGACACTGTTAATGCATGTCTGCTCTAATTATCTCCGGCAAGGCTGCGTGGCTTACTGAAAATTGCATTATCGGAGTCCTTGGAGGTTTGAACTGCACTAACAGAGACAACCAGAATAACACCCCCCTGCCTCTCCTCGGTCCTGCAGCCATACACACACACTGACACACACACTGACACACACACACACACACACACACACACACACACACACACACACACACACATACACACAAACAAGCAAACCCAGGAGACCATAACTGCTGACAGTGGTAATGATCCATTCATGACTTTATCTTTATCAGTAGGCAGTCGGAACCCCATTGCTCACACAAAGAGACTATTTGATGAAACCACGGTGCAAACTGTAGGCTTGTGCAGTAGAGATTGCCAGTTATTAATAATAACTAAAATAACCTCTAATTTTAATCATCGTAATAGCCTCACATATTTTCAACAGTTAATTTAAAATTAAAGGATATAGATTGATGGAAACAGTTTTTTGCTGTTTTCCAATTTGACCACTTGAAACACGCCTACTTTAATTTAGAACCATGCATTTACTAAAAGCGATTCTTTTTTTAAAACTCGTAATTCACAACATAACTGTTGCTGTCACATTATTTATGTTAAAACAATAAGTTCATATTAAAATGTGTATTTACTACAGTGCGGTACTAATCCTTAAGATCAGGTTTTAAAAAGGAGCCCAACATAAACATGTGTAGTACCTCATTTAATAACCCGGTAGCTAAGAAGTTGTCTTAACAGGAGGTCAAACATATGTATTGAGTCACATTTAGGCTTGAATAGTGCAAGGAAAAGAGTGAGCAGTTATGCTTAGAGTATAAACAGCTTGAACGATAAGATCTAGCCTGTCAAAAGTGTGTGTGCAAGCAAAGCCACTATTGAAACCAAAGCTGAAGTACAGTAGATGGTAACCAATTGTTTATAATGACGGCTGTATCCAAGGAAACCAATTTCAATCGTTTCACTGATCACTTCAAATGTGGTTGTAATATTTGTATCTATTGTAAAGATAGTAGTGTTTCAAAAGGAGTACAGCATTTGTAAACCCCTTTGTTTGATTGATGCATTTTTCCAGTGAAACGCATCTCACCTTAGCTCCACCTCGACAACATCTTGTTTTCCCAAATCTCAACTAATATGTCCAGTAAGCGGTAAATCCAAACTATAGGGTTCAAAACATCCCTTCCGATATCCTATTAAATGGTAAATGGAATGCACTTATCTGCCTTAATGGACAAAGCAGTTTACAAATGGTTGCTTATATTCACACACTCACACCATGCAAGGCACTACTCATTAACACTATGACATGTGGACAGGAGTAGTGATTAAATGTCCTCCTCTTCATCTTTCACAGCTGATGCTTCTGTTCAATACATTCCAAGAAATGTTTACCCTCATTGACCTTAGTCCCTGGCATCATAATATAATATTGATTAATCAATGAGGTTTACAGTATGTGTAATCCATGTACTCAGTGAAGGCTTGCCTTAAGGCTCCCAGAGGACGTCTCATGTTGCCTCAGAGCTGCTTTCCCTGTTTACTGTTGGAAGATCTAAACTCTAACTCTGTGAAATCCCATTGGCTTTAAAAAAAAAACACTCTGCTGATATTACGGCTTGAGCAGAAAGATGGCTATGGTGATCTGTCTTGCGTAGTAGAAGCTGGTATTGATTTTCCTGATGAGACCTAGAGCGATTCTGAATGGGCCAATAAAATTGATGACCCTAACAAAAGGCTCATCAAAGCATTTTGGCAAAGAGCTTCTATTGCCCAACCAGTGCTCATTCGAAAGCAGCTCACCACTGCTTGATACTCCATACTGCTCACATACGTTACATTACGGAAGCCATCAGGGGATAACATCTACAGGATAATTTATGTGCACTGACATTGTAGGGTTTTAAAAGGCTGTTCCTCTGCTGCAATGAGGACAGGATTGGATGTATGGTAGAAAAAGTACTTGGGTTTAAAGAGTGGGAAGTGGGGACTGCGGGCCCTGTCCTGACAAGTGGTCGGAGTCCATTAACTCGACAGTTTTTTACCAGATGAAAGGAGAAAACAACCATTTCTTCCTGTCATTGACACGCCAAGAGGTGCTGTGGTACATCTCTCATCCTTCAACAGAAATGTCTTTTCACATCATGCAGGGGACCAAAGACTCTAGCTTGTAAGAAATGTGTGGGAATCCCCATCGGTAGTGAGCTCTGTCAGATTTTGAAGTTTTATTGGCTTTTTATTGCCTCAGACAACCAACAGCCTTTGAATGTCAAAACAGCTTCAATACATTGAACAAAGTTTTTTATAATGGCTCGATTATAGAATAGACCAGGGGTGTCGAAACTACGGTCTGGGGGCAAAATGCGGCCCGTGGGCCATTTTGAATCGCCCCTCAGCAAATTCAAAAAGTATAATGGAATGCGGCCCACAATTGAAACCTGAGCTTGTCTTGTATTGGACTTCTTAAATATATATGTACACATATATTACACAGTAGTGTTCATGTGTTAATAAACCCACTTTCAGTCAATTCAAGTTGAAAATATGTTCTAACAAATCTAAGTTGATAAGAAAAAAGCCCAATAACTTATTTACATAACAACCTTGAAATATACCCTTCCTATTTCCTCTTATGATAAGCAATCTGAGGCTTCTGTTTTAAGGAATGAGCTGCT